GTTTTTTTAATAAAAAAAAATAAAAAAAAATCCTATCGCCAAAAGACAGGACAGCTGTTTAAAGTCATTGTAGACAAATATCGACAATTTCGCATTACCAACAGGCTATCCTGCACTGAAAACAGTATACGACAATATATTTATAAATTTTATCTCCGTATGAATCTGATAATCACTTAAAAATACACTGGTTGCGTAATCGGATACAAGCCTTCCATCAGTGGAAAACTTTGTTGACGTTTTAGTTATTTGTTCACCGCTCATGGATTTATCCTGTTGACGTTTTAGTTATTTGTTCACCGCTCATGGATTTATCTCGTTGAATTTTTAGTAATTAGTTCACCGCTCAAGATTTTATCTTGTTGACGTTTTAATTATTAGTTCACCGCTCATGGATTTATCTCGTTGACGTTTTAGTAATTAGTTCACCGCTCAAGATTTTATCTTGTTGACATTTTAATTATTAGTTCACCGCTCATGGATTTATCTCGTTGACGTTTTAGTAATTTGTTCACCGCTCATGGTTTTATCTTGCTGACGTTTTAGTCTGATGTACAATATTGTATTATCTTTCTGTTTCAACCTTTATAATCATATAATACACTGCACTCTGATATACAATATTGTATTATCTTTCTGTTTCAACCTTTATAATCATATAATACACTACACTCTGATATACAATATTGTATTATCTTTCTGTTTCAACCTTTATAATCATATAATACACTACACTCTGATATACAATATTGTATTAGCTTTCTGCTGCAACCTTTATTATCATATAATACACTACACTCTGATGTATAATATTGTATTAGCTTTCTGTTACAATAATCATATAATACACTACACTCTGATATACAATCTTGTATTAGCTTTCTGTTACTACCTTTATTATCATGTAATACACTACACTGTTGTACAATCTTGTATTATCTTTCTCTTGCTACCTTTATTATCATATAATACACTACACTCTGATGTACAATCTTGTATTAGCTTTCTCTTGCTACCTTTATTATCATATAATACACTACACTCTGATGTACAATATTGTATCAGCTTTCTGTTACAACCTAAATAATCATATAATACACTACACTCTGATGTGCATTCTTGTATTGTCGATATTCTCCCAATACCTCCACATTATAACAAGTATTATTTCGTTATGTGCTTTTCTTTTATATGTATTTTAACTATCTTCTGATTAGCTGCGACATTTGTGTGTGGTGTGGCCTTATTATGAATACAATGATCACGTCAAATCCTTTCTCCGCTATACGGCTTCGTAAAAATTAATAAATTCACCATCCTTTAAAGTAATACAATGCACGGTAATTATAAATAGGTGTCATATATTGTAACAATCGTCCAACAGGAAATGTTGCATCAAGAAACAGTACAGACAACGCATGTACACACAGAGACACGCACATAACCTAGTCACTACCCTGTAAGCACATTGTCCGAATAGATGATGGAATCACTTACCTTACTCGTTTAGCGAATGTAGTATTGTGAATTGTCTACATATTAACAATTTTTTTCAGTTCAATCAAGGACGCAACACCACCTGCTACATCACCTTCCAGAGTAAGGAAGCAGTTGCAGCTGAGGCGATAATTACCCTCATTAACATATCACCTTAAAATAACAACCGGGATATGAGGAACGAACCACCTCCGAACTCTGTTAAGTGTTTTCATAGCTTCTGTCTCCGTAATGACGGATCTTTTATAGAAGATATGGTCTACTTCGTGCGAAAACAACAACAACAACAACAACAAAACAAGAAACAAAAAATGACGTAAGCCTCTTCAGATAATGAATATTTTTGTGATATTAATTTTGATTTCATTTCTAACATTACTATGATATCCATAATTGAAATCTAGTTCGTACGTATACATAAGATGTAAAAATATGAAAACACACCTTTTACTTTTTACGAAAAGACGAACGCAAAATGTGTTTATATAAATCTTAAATCTTATCGTATTCTAATACCGTCTACACAATCTTTTGTGTACTGTGTTCTATTTCATATCTCTTCATTCAATATATGAACAATAAACATTTATATTTAGATTCAACACAGAAATGTCAACAGTTGTTAATGATGTGTGAAAGACATATCATGTGTGAAAGACATATCATGTAATATCATGTGTGAAAGACATATCATGTAATATCATGTGTGAAAGACATGTCATGTAATATCATGTGTGAAAGACATGTCATGTGTTAAAGACATATCATGTGTTTTTCATTTCAACAAATTTTATTTCATTTAGAAAAAGGATTGAACAACAGGCATAGCCTATATAAGTTCTCTCCTAAAGGTAACAGTGGGTGTATAAATATATATATATGAATAATAAAGTATGTTGTTATTTTGAAATTTCAAAGTTGATTATTTTAAGTATGAAACATAAAATGTTTAAATATGAAATATGCGTTAGGAAGTAAGGACAAAAATTTAAGAGTTGTTATAATATGTGAAATAGTGTATTCACTATGTTTTCCAAACTTATATTTTTTTTTTTTTTTTTTTTTTTTAGAGCCTCGAATCCAGCATCCATGACAGGATTCCCTCCACTCATGGGATACATACCAAAAATGTACATATTGGCTTATCAGCCACTGGTCATCCACCCATGAGTTTTGGGGCCAGTCATGGATACTGCATTCTGATTTTCATAGTTAAGATAATTAAGAGAGAATTTGGCAGATTTTGAAGTATTGGTGGACTCTAATCAATATTTTGTAACGATTTGTTAATAAGAAGGTAAATCAAGGATTTTACATTATTTAAGATTTTTCAAAAAAAAAAAAAAAAAAAAAAATATTTTACTAATTGAATGACAAAATTGAGTAAACAGAAAGATGCAAAATGAATTTGTCCACCGTTATGAGATTGTTCTTACTTAGTTATTATTCTATCCCATATAACAACACTACAATAATTATAATGAATGATACATAACATACAAAACATACAAAATATATGCTTATCATATCAAAAGGGGGAAAGGCGGCCATAGGAAAAAGAAAGGATGATAATGACACACAATGTTTATGATGTAGAAGCACAGTCATAACTGATGGTTTTCATATTTAAGAGACATAATATCAATCAGAAATATATAATGTATTATATATGTGGAAATCTATGTGTAGCTGTGACAAACGCGGCAGTACATTCAAATATATTTACATTGGTTTGTTCATCACAGTCACCACAGCCAGCTGGAAGTACATCCAGAGTGTAGTGATTGTGATTAACATCAAATGATTTATCCTTGAGGGTTTTACGTGGTTCATCATACTTATTACAAATGAGAAAAAAATGATGTACTGTTTCATGGGCATTACCACAGGTACAAGTTGGTGATTCGAGAAGATGATCTCTGTGTAGATCAAAATTAAGGTTACTTGAAGAATTTCTAAGTTGGCAGAGTATGATGTTGTATTTTCTATCACCTGTGTTGACATAGGTAAAGTTTCTACTTGTGTCTAATAACATAATGTCACTTACAGCTCTTCTTAAAAGTTTTTTAAATTGGTATAGTGATGTGATGTTAGTCAGGTCAAACCTTGCTGCAAGTTCATTGTAATCTTTAAGTGNTTCAATTAATTCAGTTAAATAAGTGGGTGCAGTTCCTGTAAGAATTTTGTATAGAAGAATAAGTCTATGTTTTTCCGTCTTGCAGCAAGGGTGTCCCAACCAAGTTCACAATAAATTTTATAGTGTGAGGTTCCTTTACGCAGTCCTGTAATTAATCGAGCAGCCTCTATTTGGATAGATTCAAGTAAAGTTGCCTCCTGATGAGTACAATTATCAAAAATAATATCACCATATTCAAGTATAGGTCTAATATAAGCGATATATATAGTGGTTAGTGTTTTACGACTCATTTTATATTTTACAGATTTCAATAAATTTATACGTTTATACGCTTTATTATAAATAAAGTTGGTATGGTGATGCCACTTACCATCTTCAGAAAAAAATACACCAAGATGTTTATGAGTTGACACATTTGCTATAGTTTCATTTTGAAAGATGATATCAGGAGATATCATATTTCCTTTTCTACTAAAAGTTAAAGATTCCGTTTTAGTAGGATTAAAATTTATGTCCCATTTCTTAGACCATATATTAACATTTTCAAGATCACTGGATAAACTAGTGGCTGCATCGAGTGGAGTAGTCTGTATAATCTTAAAAAGAGATGTATCATCGGCAAATAGTAGTTTCTCATTTGTTATACATTCAGTAATATCATTTATATAAATCAGAAATAGAAACGGACCGAGGACTGATCCCTGGGGGACACCAGCACTTACCTGTCTATATGATGAGAAGTCACTCTATGTTTACGATTAGTTAAGTAATCATATGTGAAAGACATATCATGTGTGAAAGACATATCATGTAATATCATGTGTGAAAGACATGTCATGTAATATCATATGTGAAAGACATATCATGTGTGAAAGACATATCATGTGTTAAAGACATACCATGTAATATCATGTGTGAAAGACATATCATGTGTGAAAGACATATCATGTAATATCATGTGTTAAAGACATATCATGTAATATCATGTGTGAAAGACATATCATTTCTCCCACACCTGACAGATTTATCTCCCGTTTTGCCGGTGCTAGATTTATCTGTCTCCGCCCTAGGGCAGAGACAGCCTGCACGCGCTGTGACGTCATTGGAATGTTGTAATGAACTTCACTGTAAACAAATGTAACAGTCTGCATAAAATAATAGTTCTAACAAACGGAAAATATTTTTAATGAATTTAATAACAATTTCCTCATATAATTTAACAGTAAAATATTTTTTAACGGTAAATAACTTTCTTTGTCTATTCAATACGTGATGTTCGTTCGAGAGTTCGTTTTCCGCCGGAGAGTCGATTGACGCCATTACGTTGTCAACAAACACGATGAAGAGATGTGTCAAGTTATGTAAGTCATTCTTCATCACTGTCGCTATAGATGATAGCCCTCCGAGCTCGTGGATGTTGTTTGTTTCCATCATTGGAATTATCATGGACGTGTATATTGAATGTTCCACCGTAAATGCTGGAATTGTGGAAAATTGACTCTAACGAGGATGCACACGTGGACACGTTGGAAGTTTTGTCAGCCGCCATCGCGGGACGGTTGCTCGAGGCAGACGAGCTAAACGTGGTAAGCGATTGTGAATGCGATTCTGCAACTGTTGTCGTTGATGCATTCGTCAACAAAGACGAAATTTCGTGCTGTTTTTTGTTCGTAATGACGCGATAATTGTTCAGTGACTGAATGTTTTTGTGTCCGGTAAACATGACAGCTTGTGTGTCGGGAATATCGTTCTCCAAAAGTGTCTGACACAAATGTTTACGTGCGCTGGTGTTTGTTAGGCGTTTGTTGTCGTCGACCCCTGGTNTAAACCATTGATCATCAAGGGTAGGGTTGTTGACATGAGTAATCGTCGCTAAATAAAATGGATGCTGGGGTGCGGAAAAGTTTGATGGACGTTTGTCGCTGTATTGTTTATACGCTGTAACAGGGCACCGTTCTTTGTTGTTGGGGGTTTCATACATTCTTGGTTGACCGTTTCGTGTATTATTCGTGTCTTCACCTGTGCGTGTTTTGGTTTGCCTTTCGTTATGAACAATATATTCTAAACACAAGTCATTGTCATAATGGAGTTGGATGTCACCCCAGCACAGTGCCCTGTGTTCTTCCCCACCACCTCTCATTCCGAAATGTGTAGTGTTGTTCATCCACAGTGTATTTATCAACGATGCAGGTGTGGAACAGCCCAGTTGTTTAGTTTTGTATAACAAATCAATGTCACTGTTAGTGATGGCATCTGCTGCAAAAGGCTTGTTACCCATGCCCTGCCTTTTCAACTCCTTTTGTTTAGCCTGCATTACTTCACGTGTTTTGGAAAATTCATATCCTGAGACGAGACTAGTGCCATACCTGTGTCTTTTGAGATATCGCTCAAAGGACCCCAGCATCCCTCGTAAAACACTTGGTTGATAATTGTTACCATTTTTTTGCCGGACGCCTATCATGAATTTGGACAAATGTGTATCCAGTTCCATTGGAGGTATATTGTGGGTTTCCCTCATTTCTCAATTTTCAGACAGAAATGTTTTTAATAATTTCATGTGACACAATGTTTTTTTCCTAGTATTATTGTTCTCATTGTTGTGAACAAATTTGTCAACCTCGTCATCATCGACCGACACAAATCTTGTCATAGTACAGGAGGCAGTTTTTGGAGGGGCTCGTACAGCAGTCGGTGTTTGGGGGATGAGAGGTTTTTCGGGGATGAGAGGTGGTTGGGGCACACACACATTTTCATTTGTACTGAATTCAGACTCAGTTGCATCCATATGCATGGGTTCATCAAGCAAAAAGCCAAACTCTTCATCTGGCATTGCTCTCACAAGTTCATGTTTGGCAGCAGTTACTAGTTTACCATCCTAGAACAGCTGAATTTTGTACATTACATAAGTTCCAAAAGGTTTTACAATGTCCACAATTTTCCCTTTTGACCCATTTGCTCCTATTGTGACTCTGTCTGCAAGTTTAGACACTTTTTCCATGATGTTGTCAACAACAGAAGTTGTACTTTCACAGTTTCAGCAGACAACATGAAGTTGGGGAGAAAGTAGTACCTATATGGATATTAATACGCCAAATTGCCTGTATGTGATTTGGGTCCATGTTTACCTTTATTTCACATTAAAATACTGTTAGATATGGGAGAAAAATAATCAATCGCTACTGGTTGTGTAAGATAGAGAAATCTCAACCCGAGGACTAAGACTTTTTTGTCCAGAACTCGGCAAGCCTCGTTCTGGACAAAAAATCTTAGTCCTCGGGTTGAAACTTCTCTATCTTACACAACCAGTAGCGATAGATTCTATCAGTTATATCATGTGTGAAAGACATATTATGTGTGAAAGACATATGTAATATTATGTGTGAAAGACATATCATGAAACGAATGCTGGAAGGTATTCATTTTCTACGACCAAAGTAGGTAGATATGACACCTATAAAACTAGTATTAATTCCTATGGAAACCATACACCAAAACCTCTTCTTCGAAAATCAGTAGCTTTTCGGTCTCATAATTTACTCACATACCAAGTTTGAGCGGAATTGCAAAATATTGAAATGTTGACAACTCAACGTATTGTGCCCGTCTTGGTACCCTAATCGTAAAATGCGGCATTGCATATTATCCCAAACTTCACAATGAACAAATAAAGGAAGTGTGCTCCGTTAATCCGTCAAGCAGAACAAAAGTTATCATAGGTTGATATCCTGACGAAATGTAAGACATTTAAACAATTGTCGTTTACATCTACCCCGTAGTTCTTGAAAATCGCGTAGGACAAGATTAAAATTGAAAAATTGTGGAAACGAGTAAACCATTAAATCTTCCTCCTCGTTAAAAGGACTTTAAAATATATTTGAATAAATCAGTTAATTATATACTTGAAACGTTAAGTGTAAGCCTTCAGGGTTGTTACACAATATACAGAAGTGTTAACTAATGTGTTATTGTATGGCCATTCTCGTTTATACAATTTCCAGATTGAACTGACACTCTAAAATGAAACGCTCTGATTAATCATATTTAAATACTCTACTGAACATCACAATTAAGATATGCAATTTAAGTATTCATGTACTGAACTTGTAATTTAGATACTAAAACGGGACTTTTACTCAGTCAATAAGGAACTAAGGTTTATGTCTTAATGAAAAATAGTTGAAAGGCATTATGACACCCAAATCTGTTTTGTGACGACACAACTGATTGCAACGTAGTGATATCTTATCTGAACTTTATGGACATGCCTACGTCTCACGGTACTTTATGTATCTTTCACTAGCCATGGAGAAACATACCGAAAACCAAGGGGAACCACGCTAAACAACTAAGATCATAGTTAAATTCCCCGTTTCGATATTTCGGAATCATGAATACAAAATGAATGCTTAGCGACCAAGTTTATTAAATGAACATAAGATGATGACATTTCTCAATAATTTGTGTATTTATACATGTAACGCTAAACATGTTATCGATATTGTATAGGAAAAGTATTATGATGTTAATAACATATGTAGAATTTGAAGCTCAGGGTGAAAGGTTCAACGTAACCTATTACCGTCGTCCGTTATCTGTTAACATTTCACATTTTGAGCTTAAAATTTATACACCTGAAGGGATGTCAATGGGTCATTATGGAAACGTTTAGTACACGGTTCCAATCAAGTGTTGTTTTTATCGGGACGGTCAGACTGAAGTTATGGGGATTTTAATAAATAAAATAAGAAGAAGGTTAAGTGCTTCCTTCTGACAAAGTGTTGTAAATATTCAAGTCGTTTAGTTGTTCATGATTACTTTCACGGTCGCCATCTGATAATCTTATTTTAATTTAAACTCCAGTAAATCTGCTAAAATGGTTTGCGCAAAACGTTAATAAAATGTTCACGAAACTATGAGTTGTTATTTTATACTGGTCGTAGAGATATCAAACACGAACGCCACACTCGTCAAACTTGTAGTTGTGTGCTGATACTATGACTGTTATGATACAGGGATTTAATGCTTATTGTTCTTTCTAAAAGCGTATCAAACTTATCTGACCGAAACTGATTTCCTCGTTTAATTCGTCCTTTTTTAATTATCTATATTATCAATTAAACATTAGAACCAATAGTTAAGCCGCCATTTCACAAGTGAGGTTCCTTATGAAAACATCTCATGATATTGTTCCGCTCACGTCACTGTTGTGTCTGTCTGATAGGTGGCTGAACCTTAAAACTGATCATAACGTAACCATTAGATAAAAACGCATTGCATCAATATACAACGGTACATATCAGACAATGCAACACATATTTAACTGGAATAGAAGTCACTGAAAATATAGGAAATTGTTATAACAATGATTATGTGTTTAAGAAACAGTGGCGGATCCAGAGACCTATCTGGGGGGGGTTTCAAATTTCCTGGGGGGTTTCCATGTTGGAAAAATTGAGGAAAAAGGTGAAAATATATGATTTTTAAAGAAAATTCTCAGGGTGGGGGGGTTTCCTGAAGCCCAAAAAAACCCTCTGGATCCGCCACTGAGAAATTACACGTTTGTCAACAACGGTCACCTGGCATGACACGTGCCATTATAACTCTAAATACGGAAACAATTAACGATCTCTCAAAACTGTTGACAACACTCTTTTGTTATTGGTTCACGTNTCACCTGGCATGACACGTGCCATTATAACTCTAAATACGGAAACAATTAACGATCTCTCAAAACTGTTGACAACACTCTTTTGTTATTGGTTCACGTAATACTTTAGACTGGCATATTCACACTTGTAACTGTCATTCATCACTACAATCCCTCTGTGTTACTGGAGCTTGGCGTCGTTATTTCCAGCAAACAAACTCCTAACAAGCTGACTTCCTTTGACAGAAACTGCCACTGTGTGCAATGAAGGAACATACAACCATAATTTATGAATGTGGAAAAATAAGAAATGGCAGAATATAACGATACAGTATTTGTTTTAGTCTTAGACAATGTTTCCTGCCACTCCCTTGTTATCAGTACCAGTCACATTTTAAGGATTTATAACTGCCTGATACAGGCGAAAATGTTTTACGCTTCACGGAATGTGCCACCAATGTGTGATCATTTTTTTGCTGATTTCTTATATTTGATCAATATGTTTTCGTTAACAGATGTTGGTATGAATATCCTATCCTTATCTCATAGGGTTCAAATCTTATGTTCTGAAGCTAAAACATTTTAAATAGGTTTCATTAAGTGGACAAAGTCTTTGCTTCTATTTTTAATATACACAAAAAAATCAAATAATATTTACGAAGACTTAGAATCGATTCTGTTGAAAGGCACAATTAATTCCTGTGATAAGTGGAAAGAGGCAAATCATTGTTATAAATTTGTGTTAAGACAATACTCGTTATGAGAAAACAAATATATACGTTTAGGAGTGACAGTCCATTAAGCATTTGACATCTTTATTTAAGAGTTATTTCATATGCGTGATGATTATGTAACAAATGTATTAAGTCTTTGTCCGAAAAAGTTAGTGCGAATACAACGCGGAGCAGCTAAAATAATTATTAAACTACAGTCATTGGTTGAAAATCAACCGTCTGATGTAATTATAGTAACAATAAAGAGAAACTTTAATTACCATACAAAATGAACAGGAATCAAATTATCTATCGAAGATAGTATCCCTATAGTTAGAGGAAACAGTATACTGGTCTAAAGATAACTATAGCGTTTTTAATTTGAGACTTTCTCCCATTACATAGCAGTTCTTATAATACCTAATTCAATAATAAATCAAATGATCCATCGTAGAACGTACTTTTCTGACATCAGCTTAAGTTCTAAATACGCCGATGTAGTAGCCCATTTACTACAAGGAAGGAGACCGAGAATTCCATTATATGCATATGTGGACTATGACAGCAGTATTACCAGGGACGTATAGTCTATATACTGTCCCTGGTATTACCTTTTCCTTGCCAAATATCCATCGTACATAAATGCTCGTAGATTAACCTTTAAATACTAAAACAACGCAGATAATTGGGTACTTTGGTTATGAAAACCTATTTTTAAAACAATTTAATATATACATGTATATATTATTTGTTTAGACCCTGCAGTCTTTTATATCATTTAAGTTCGTTTTAAAAATGATGATTTTGGTTCCGTCGATTCCTTCGTATTTTGTGTTGTATCAAACTATGAACTTACTTGATATTGAATTATGAATATAAAACAGTGCCATAAAGTGTCATTAATGGCGTCTTTGTACCAATCCTGACAATACAACATGTTGGAAATCACATCGTGAACTAAACATTCACAGAGTCAGTAGCAATTTTGGCATTTCTGTCGCCTGGCAGTCATATGGTGATGGCTCCACTAGGCCCTTAGCTGACTAATAGAACAGAATAGAAAGCAGACGTATTGTTATCCTTATAATGTTGTATTGGGAGACGTATTGT